CTAGCCTTGGCACGTAAGATGAAGCAGCAGAAACATCCTCCAAGTCTCTTGGTGCCTGGCATGCTTGTGGACGTCTACCGCTCTCCTGCAGTAAAACGTGAGCTAGCTGGATGGCATGGTCCTGGAGAATTGCTATCCATCCAACGACATGCAGGTGCCGCCATTGTCCTTCTTCACGGACAACCTCTGATGTCTCCTTTGAATAGCATTCGGCGCCATGTTCCTTTGGGCTTCTATGTTCAGGAACATCTGCATTCCCTCAAGGACAACTCTCCTGATGAGTTCTACTGCAACTATGAAGATGTCAGAGATTATCAGCTCCAGTTCTATCACGACCAAAGCAATCGGAACTACATCACCGGACAACACACTCATTTGTCCACAATCATGGATCTCGTTGAAGGAGAATCCCATGGACGACTGTTTTGGATTGGCTGGCGCATGAATGACAAGGGCACCATGGAAGCTCTTCCTGATGAGGAAACGGTCTCAAAGCATTCCATTCTCCTTCATGGCAATCACCTCCGACTACAAGATCTCATCGGCACCTTACACGGGGTGATCTTTGGCCACGGTCTGAAAAGAATTCCAGTGCCTCGAGGACATCGACAAGGTCTACTACTGCGATGGAAGAACAACTTCAGAAAGCACTACACCATGGAGCAAAGAAAGCTTAGTCAGACCACAGCCTTCACATCATTGCAGGTGTCCGCATGGAATACTCTCTACTTCTATAGCTATGTGCAGCCAGAGACTGATCCAGAACCACCTCTGAGAGTGGACACCTTGGACTGGGATGACATCTCCAGCATTGATCCATCAGCACGACCTCCATCGGCTCCAGACATGAGCATTTTCGGTCCTCCAGGTCTGGATCCCATCGATGAGAATGATGAACAATCCACTGAACTGAACCAGGCTCCGCCACCACCAGGAGCACCGCCAGGCTTTCCGCCAGGTCTTCCTCCAGCACTACCTTCTGAGAGCACTCCACAATCCATGACAGGAATGGATGACTCCATGAATCCTTCAGAAGAAATCATCGCAGATCCTCCTCCGGATGATCCTGGTCCACCACAACCACCAATGACTACTACTGCTGGCAATCAACCACCAGACTCACCAGATTTACCGCAACTCAAACTTCAAGTGCCACGTTCTCCAATGCATCAGCCACTACAGCCAGGTCCTCAGAAGACTCCTTCTTCTCAGCTGCCACCAAAGTCTATCGACATTCCGCCAGCACTACCTCCAGAGATGACTGGAGAGAAGCATCTACATCCGCGACAACCACTGGATCGCAGGTTCAAGAACCGAACTTTGGAAAGATCCGTTGAAGAAGGAGCTCCGCGGAAACACACAAAGATTTTAGATGACAACGATGAGAACTCAAACATGTCACACACTGACCCAGACAGTGACAATCCAGGCAACTTACCATTTCTACACGATCCTCATGCACCACGACCACCTATGTCAACTGCACAGTCAAGTCAAGATCCTCTTGTACCACAAGAACCCAGGTCAACAACAGGCAACAAAGCAACAGGCATATCGGAATCACTCGATCGATCGTTGTTGAATCCCAGCAACACCGACTCACAGACAGCTTGTGACAACAAGCAACAAGCATCAGCATCGACAGCACCGGCAGCCGCCTCCTCTAGCACTTCGGATCTTCCAGGCATTGCTCCTTCACCTGCTGCACCTACCGCTGCAGATCTGAACGACTCCAATGAGACCTTGGATCCAGATGCTACTCTGGACTATGGCGACAGCCAACTCCTCACTCGAGCTCACTCTGAGCTCACGAGCCAGGACCGCCGTGCTGCGCACACATCGCACACACTTGTTGAAAAGCTGTTTAATTTGTTTTCCGATTCGAGTGTTTCCGACCCGTTTCACACATGCCTCACGGAGTTGTGCCATGGTGACACAGATACATTGTGCATGCTGCGCGAGTTGTCGGACGAGTTCACACACATGTTCACAGAGCATTTTTCTGACATACAGTTGCAGCAGATATATTACTTGGATCTTGTCACGAATGAAGTTTTCAGAGTTGACGATGAGACAGCAAACCTTTCAGACGAAGAGATGCGGAAATTTGCAAGTCTTGTTCATGAAGGTGATAGGAAGGAGCTTGCACACTTCATAGACCACCATGTTTTCATTCCAATCAAAACTTCCACATTGCCGTCGGGAACCAATCTTGTGGACTGTGTTTGGATTCGAAAATGGAAAGTGAAGAACGAGATTGTGAAGAGCAGGGTTTGTGCTCGCGGGTGTTTTGACCGACAGAAGAACATCATCGAGCGACACTCTAGCACTGCCAGCCGATTGTCTCAACGCATTGTTCTCTCAGCAGGTATGATTGAACAGTACTTGTATGGCGAATCAGTTGACACGGAATCTCTAGATATATCGTGCGCATTTCTTCAGGGCCTCAGATATTCAGACCTCAGGAAGCTTGCAAAAGAGTTGGGGTATGAACAGAAGGGGGTCCGAAGCGTTTGCATCACACCACCGGAAAACGTTTGGAGACACTTCAGGGCTATGGACTCAGCACCACCAGTTTTTCACATCTCAGACGAGGAGCGTGGAGAATGGTCGTTGAAGGCCTTGAAGGCCATGTACGGTTTTTCGGATGCACCACTCATGTTTCAGTTGGCTTTGCTTCAATTTCTTGTCAAGGAATGTGGCGCTACAAAGAGCTTATTTGATTCGAATTTTCTGTACTGGACACAGTATGTTCATGGAGAATCTCGGATTACACTTATGCTCACAGCACACGTGGATGACTTGCAAATCACTGGCAGTCAAACCATGCGAACATGGTTGCATCACCAACTCACCAGACGTTTTGGGGAGCTCAAGAGGCAAGTTATGCCTTACACACATGCAGGAATTCAGTTGGAGCGCTTGAGTCAAGGGACGTTGCGTCTTCATCAGGATCATTTCTGCAGTAAACTTGAGACCTCAAAGCTGGATGACAAAGAAGATCCAGAAAG